TGGTTCCCTCTGTGAAACATGAGCACATGAACGCACCACAGGTTTATTTATTAATTCATTTCATCACAGCAAAAAATAAGAGAGAAAACTGGTCAAGATTGAAGAACTCCTGATGTGAAGCTGCTTTGGTCTCGTCCGTCCATGTTCAAGTAGTTTGTTATTGATGTATATTTGTGATTCACCGCTGATGGACAGCTTTTCATCAGAACGGAACGAAAAGGTTTTCACAACATCCTGTTTTCATCACGTAACGTGAGCTTCTATATTTACAGACGGCTGTAGGTTTGAAGAGTCACCGCGTGCGTAACTCTGCTCCAGCGATGACAATGAGGCCTTTTCTGGTACCGTACGACCATTACGTACAGAATGAGTCCTTCAGATGTTTAGCTGAGTCAATCCTCATGACTCAGGTTGTTGCTATGACAGATACAGATCTGAGGACGAGAGGACGACGTACGCTGTGATTGAAGTAGAAGAGCTCCGACATTTTAAAACTCAAATACGTCAAATGTACAGCCTGTCGTATTGTACCACCACCAGTGTGCGTACCCCATTTTGAGAACCACTGCCTAGATAACCTCTGCACTTCTGGACTGTTTCAGATTAATAAAACCCTATATATATAATGTAGTAAATATATATTTATATATCTACATATATACAAATACTACTATTTATATAAATATATATAAATATATAAATATATATATATTTATATTTATATATATAAATATATATATATATATATTTATATATAAATATAAATATATACATATATATATATAATGAAGTATAATGAATTTTAACATAAAGGTTCACTCTGGGAGGTAGTGGAGTACTACAGTACTGCAGTAGTACTGTAGTACTGTAGTACTGTATTGGGTGATTAAATGTAACCGTTGAACCAAGGCTGTGTTGAAACACTTGTCTGTCTGACCTGAGTGCGTCTGTCAGTAGTGTCAGTAATAACAGATGTGTTTCAGCTCCATTACACTTGACTCTGGACTCCTGTCCGTCAACACGGACTCTGCTGCCGTCGACGCCGCACAGCCTTCAGATTTAAACTCCATGGGTGGGGGGGGGGATTATTTACTCTGTTGTTTGTGTTGTAAATCTGCTAAATTAACCAGAGTGCCAGTGGATGTCATCCGCCATTAGAGTCAACGGGCGTCTAATCAAGATGTTCAACCTGTGGGCGCGTCAGAGTTATTAGGCACCGACGCCGTACGGGGACACGTCTGCTTATTATACCACAGACGGTGGGGCCGTTAAGTGGAAGAAGTCCTGAGTGTGTTTGCCTCACAGTGGTGGTTCCCAAAGTAGGGGGCACAGACCAAGCTGAGACAAGACCTATTGCAAGGTGATTTTTTTTTTCTTTGTCAAGGAGAATTATTCTGCTTTGAAAAAAAGGTTCAGTGCAGATTTGAAGCAATGGCTGTGAATATGTTGTAAAAAAGGGTGCAGCAAACACTGCCTGACAGCAAGAAGATTACTGGGTTGTCGGTTCAATTCCTGCAGGGCAGCTTGCGTGTCCCCGTCCATTAAACCACAGTTTGATGAATTATTTATTCTAAACTAACTCCAGTTTTTAGTGTCTGTGTCAGCGGTTGGTTCTTTCTATGAGATATAAGTCTATAAGACTGTCCTGGGTTTGGCCCCGCCCTCACCCACGGACTGCTGTGATTGGCTTCAGTGACCCTTGAAAAGATTAAGTGGAGAAGACGACTAAACGTTAGCATCCGAATGATAAACTTTGTGGTCGAAGTCTGCCCCAGGAGGACACACGCTTTGGAAATAGTTTTTTTTCTAGACCAGCTGTGTTTGACAGAGTGAGGGGCCTCGGCGTTGCTGTTGTTTCTGAGACCGTGGTCAGCAGGGGGTGGGGGGGGCGAAGACGGGCCTGTGACGAACAGATGGACAGGCAGACGGAGAACGCGGCAGAGGTGATCCAGAGCGTGGACTCTCCATGATTAAGAAGCAGCGAGAGGGAACAACAGAAGAAGAAGCGACTGCGACAGCACTCAGAGACGATGACTCTTCATCTGTCTGTGCAGCTGTCCTTCATCTGTCTGTCTCACTCCGCTCCCACAGACGTCAGCGCCGGGAGTAGGCGCTCACTTTTAGCTCTGTGTTAAAGGGAACCAAACCAACAGACAAGAGTAATGTAAGCCGCCCTCTCACTCCGTGTCACACTAACTCACAGCAGCATGGAAAATAAATTACACGAGACGCAGGAAATGACAGTAAACATATCCTGGGTGATTTTCTGTGTGCGGATGGAACATTATAAGGTCGGGAACAAATTACACTACAAGATGTATCATTTGGAAATAAAGGGTAAAAGTAACTGCTGATACTTCAGCTTTGCTTTGTTTTTTTTTTCAAAGGAAATGTTTATAAAGTAAACGACTTCAGAACCCTGGATACCATCATCCGTTAGAAATGGTTTTGCGACGCCAGTTTTATGTTTTTTCTCTCGCGACCAACAATATATTTCGCAGTAATTGTTACAGTGTCTCCGGGTCATCGCTTTCTCCCCGGCTACACGAAAACCCTTTCCTGTGATTGGCAGACCTCGATCTGAACTCTGGCCTGATCTCTAACCCTAATAATCAAACCCAAATTAAGCGATTTAATTGGTGGGTTTTACTGGGGGGTCGTGCACGGCTGCAAACACAGGTCTCAGCCGAGGGCAGCCAAAGGTCATCCCATTATATTGTGAACATTTTTCGGTCCGTGAGTGAGTGTCCCAGAGCTAGTTCTCTGTGAGATGTGTTTGTACCAGTGGAGGGCTGCAGAAAAACATGACATTAATGAGACGCTCTGGAGGAAGAGAATTGCCTTTTTGCATTTTTTTTATCAAGTAGCCGACGTGTCACTGTGGCAAAAATTTGTAATTTGCGAGTCGATGGATAAACAAAAAAATATATATTATATTTTCCGTGTATTTTTCCTCTGTCTACTGCATTCACAGTTCAAGCACAACTATAACATACATTTTTGTTTTTCGGCTCTGGACCACATTTAACCTACTTTTGGTACAATACCGCCCCCTTCTGGGCTGGAGTGTGTACATGAATGTTTTTGCTGTATTCTTCAATTTGAACTTTTTTGTCTCTGAACCGTATCGTCTGGTCTACTGTCAGATACTTACGATATTTGCACATCTTACAAAAGTTTTCTTGTGCGCTAAAGTCACAGATTGTGAGGTGTATTACTGCCACCTACAGGGCTGTAGTGTATGTGTCGTAGCTAAAACAGGCAGATACATTTTTAAACATGTTCTTTTTTTCTGTACTTCAGACATTAAAGTTTCAGTAAAGCTGTAATATTTTCATCTGCTGAAATGCACAGCATTCACAGAAAACTGCCAGTTCACACTCATTCACTCACACTATATATATATTACAGTGCAATAACCCAGCACTATTCATAATACATCTTATTATTATTCCCATTTACACACCACAGGGAAGCAGGGCCTGGGATCAAAGCCCAACGTTAAATGACAATACACTTCACCTCCTGAGCCGCGGTTCTGTCGATTTCCCATCATTCATGCCATCATTTCCATTCAGACTCTCACAATGTGTCTGACTTCCTGGCAAAATTAATTTGTCCACAGTGGCAGAGTCTAAAAGTGCATGAAGGTTGATCAAACTCCCCTTAATCACATGGACACACCTGCTGTGAATGCTGATGGAGCTTTGCACTCCAGTGTGATCCTGCTCCAGGGGTTGGAGCTGCTGTGATTCCGTTTCCCTGCTGTGAAACTGAATTTCTGAATGACGGCAGCAAAAGGAAGTGTGTGTGAGCCGCTCCGACGGATACTTCAAAACATGTGTACTCTGAGTAGCAAAGGGTTTTGAACCTTTACAAAAAGCCCATTTATTTTTAACCATTTTTAACGTGTCTTGATATCAGACTGTTTTTCAGTCTCAGCTTCTTCTCCCAAATACATTTTGTCATTTGAAGAGACGTCACATCAAAGTGAAGCATTTTATTCCAGTGAAATCCAGTGAGGCATTTGAAGTAGACGCGGATGCCGGAGTCATGAGAGAGCCCCCAGGGTTCTACTGTGGAACTTAATGAGCCTTCAGCAAAACACAGAACGTCATGAAAACTCAGAGGAAAAGCAGAACCGGAGCCGGTCCTCCGTCCCTGCGTGCTCCATATAAATAAATCAGTGATTCATGTCCACGTCCTCCAGGATCAGAGTGCTTACACTTCCGTCCTCTCCTGACCCAGAAGACCCCTTGATGCACTCCTGCAGACCGGAATTATTTGAATGCTGCAGCGACCTGGAGGAAACATCACCAAACTCTATGATGTCACTGTGTCGTCAGACCATCAAGAGCCAAATCAGTCTGGATAAACTGCAAGTTGTTTTTTTTTTCTTTTTGTTTTTTTTTTTTTCATAGAAACGAGCAGCGTGTGGATCTGAGTTCATCCCCAGGGAAGACAACTCCATCCACTCTGAATGGAATTGGATTACATGGGTGTGAACTACATCTGTGTCTGGTCATTGATCAGACCCACGGACTCCACGGACTCTCCTGTGTCAGAGACAACACGCCAGGAGAGAAGGGGTCCATCAGAGACCCCGTGGAACTCATCCTCCAACATATTCACCCGTGGGAGCTCCTGGCAGCACCACAGCCTCCGAACACACACACACACACACACACACGCCTGTATTCACATGGAAAACGTTTGCAAACTCGCCGTGAAAGTGCACTCAATCAGTTCCACCAGAAAATGCCGTGAAGTTCATTTCTTCTCACTTCTACCTGACATGATGATGATGCCGGGCTTCTCCCAGCTCACCGGCCGTGTCTCCACATAGCGCAAATATCAAGCAGTGTCATATTTGCGCAGCCAAGACAGAAGCCAGAGCGCAGCTGCGCTACTGGCTGATGCATGAGTTCCATCTTGAACCTCCGCAGATGCTGATGTTACGGAGTAACATTAAAAAAATAAAAATAAAGATGCGCTCTTACCTTTCAATCCTCCTCAGAAGAGTGAGTCCAAAGTGTGGGAAGAGAACTTCTGCACATCCAGTTTCTTCTTCTTCTTCTTCTTCTTCTTCTTCTCTCCCCCTGCGTCCTCTTTCTGCGTCTTTGTTTGGCTCCAGTCAGCTCTGCTCTCGCCCGCAGTTTGAACGCGGCTCGTCGAACCCGCCACACAGATGGAAATTGAAGAGGAAAAAAAAAAGAAGAAGAAGAAGAAATGGAGAAGGAGGGAGAGAAGACAGCGGTGGAGAGTGTGCAGGTGCAGCTGTGCTGAAACGCGTTTTACTCCCAGACTGAACGTTTGAACCAATCTCTGCTTCCTGCGCTGCTCGGGAGCTGTCCACTGACGCCTGGTGCTGAATGAGACTCCGGGGTTTGCAGAGATTTCCTACTTTTCTGCCTCCACTGCTCCTTCCCCTCCTGCTTCTACGATCTGCCCTCCCACCGGCGCACGGCTGAAAATCTCCCTCCTTCATATTCAGGCGTCACACATTGTATCTCCTTCAAAAGCGTCGCTTTGTCTTGCAGGAACACATTCCACAGCAGGAAAAAAACAAAACAAAAAAACAAAAAGCCTCAAATGACTGCATAAAATGTGGCGAGCTGTGAGCGGACATGTTTTTATTTTTATTAGGTTAAAACATGGACTTGGTTTCCAGGGTTTTTGTTCATTTACTAAGACGTGTTTTTACATGTAAAACACATTTAAAGCAGATTTAAGTCATTTAAAGAGTTTTACTGCTGGAAGAATTGTTTTGTTCTTTTTAAAGTCTCAGATGATTTTAGTCTAATTAGTGATCATCTTGGTTGACCTAGTCCAATAATGGTATTCCTAACTAGTTCTGAAGCGTTAGCGCCCCCTAAGCATGGAAAATACCACGATTTTCAGTTTTTAGGTTTTTTTTTTTTTTTTTATTTTTTTAATGATTTATACAGATGGAGAGATAGCACATGACCAGACTGGAACCAATCCTGGGTAACCCCAATGGGGGGTGGGGGGGGGGGCACTTTGCATGCCACCCCTTCATTTCACTATAGCCAAACCCCCACCACCCTCGTACTAAAGATATTCTGGGTTGCACCGCTGTTCCAGAACATTCTTCTAGAAGAGGTTTGTAGGTTAATGAGAATATTTTTCTTGACATCGTTAACGTTGGTGACGTCACTACACTGTATTGTAGTAGCTGTATTGTGTGTATGGGTTTGGTAAATTAGAGCCAATGTCTTTAGATTACACGATCACGTGATCTATAAAGGCTAAAAAATGAGTGAAAATTAGAGTTTTCTCTACTCTGTTGTTCAACTGTGAATGATGTGCCCCCCCCCTCAAAGGGCCCCGCTCCCTC